GCTTGGCATTGGAACCAAACTATTCCTCTTACTTTCCAAACACTTCAAGGTCTAACAAGAAGAGTACAACTGGAAAACGACTGCTCAAGGCAACGAAGGTTGCTCATTCCTCAGGGAAAGCCAAGTCCCAGGCTAAGCTGTGGGGGTGACCACCAGAGCTGGTGGTCCTTGGGGACTTTGGGGAAGGGTGCTCCCTGGCCTCTCGGAGAAGCCCAGTGTGGCTCTTTCCAAGCTTCACAGATGCATGTGGGCATCTTGCTTTTGGTCATTGGCTTCCTAAAGCCCTCAAGGGCTCACAGTGCCAGTCACAGCTGGGGAAAAGCCAGATAGATGGGCCCAAGGCAGAAGGCTGGGAACTTTCCACGGCATCGGTATGTGTGTGGGCACCACAGCCTCCCAGGAGGCAGCCCAGGATCGTGACACACAGAGGGGCTGTGTGGGTAAACTGGGGAGACAGTCTCAGGGAGAAGATACCCCAAACAGCTCCCCCAAGAGGGAACCAAAACTTGGCCAAAGATCCAGCCACTCTACTTCCCCAAGGAAGGGCTCCCGAACCAAGGCAGGGTCTGTGCCATCCTGACTTGGTTATATAACTAAACACAACAGATTGTGCAAACCAAGTTCAAACTGAAGCAGCCTCTCCTGCTGTGAATGTTTACTTTCCTGTGGGTGGTCAAGCCAAACCAAAACATATCCTCTCATGTACTACAATAACCCCGGGAAAGTAAGGGGTACTTTCTTCTGCTTTAAAGAGATTTATAAACAAAGCTGAGAGGCTCAGTTGTTTAGTTAACTGAGTTTGAGTTAATCTAAGTATAAGTGCTGAGAAGACATCTGAATGCAAATGCAACCACTGTGTAGCAATTGTCCCAGATGTTAATGGCAGCAAAAACTCCTGTTCCTGACCTACAAGGTTTATGGTCCCCATTTGTGGATGAATTACAGAATCTTCTGGAAAATCTTTGAGCTTCTCATAGAGAAGAACCCCTGCTCCCCCCCACATCCCCACCACATCCCCACCCAATGCAAGTGTTTTCAACTAGACTTCAAAGAACCCAGGCTTTGCAGCAGCTAACAACACTAAATTGACACCTCTTAAGAGCAGTGCCCCCCTCCCCACCTCTATGCAACAAAAGGAAAGAGACAGATAAAGGGCCCAGGGGGCACTCCAGGTCTTTGGGCCCATCGGGAGGAATGCTGTAGGCCTGACTGTGGAGACTGAAAACAGCTGCTCTCTGGTGAAAAAGGGTGAACTATGACCACCCACAGGAAAGTAAACATTCACGGCAGAGGAGGCTGCTTCAGTTTGAACTTGGTTTGCACAATCATGTGTTTAGTTATATAACCAATGTTGGATGGCACAGATCCCGCCTTGGTTCAGGGGCTCTTCCTAGACTGCCCAGCATTCCTATCTCCTTGGGGAAGTAGAGTGGTTGGATCCTTGGCTAAGATTTGGGGAGCTGTTGGAGTGCCTTCTCCCTGCTGCAACCTCCCCACCTTACCCACACAGCTCCCCAACCCCCCCCCCCCTAGGCAGCCCACAGGTAATCCTGGGAGGCCTGCTGGGCTGGGTAGTAACACCTCTGCCTCAACCCTGCATCCTTGACCTCTGTGTGAAGCTTTGCCCCCCACAGCCTGGAGTTAGGGCCTGCAGCCTGTTAGAAACTGCCCTCAGTGGTCCCTGCAAGGACCACCCAGGCCTCATCCAAACAGACAGCTCCTCACCTACATATTTCCTTTGCTTAAGCTCCTTTTAGGCTTCTTACCTATGGAATCATCACATATTAGAGCAGCAAGGAGTTTTTACAGTTTGAATAGTCCAACTCCTCATTTTATGAATGAGGTCCAGGGAGGGGGCACATTAATGGCAGAGCTGGGACATGAGCCATGTCTTCTTTTAGCCACATCTAGAATTGGCTTCTAGACCATTTCTCTTTCCATATGACTGTATTAGCTCTCAAAGGAATGGATCACTAATGGCAGCATCGAGGGCCCTCTCAGAGGTGGGTTCTGAGCCATGAGATTCTGGAGGCTCCTTAGGTCATCCCGTACCTGTGCTATCTACACCCACTCCAACCTCCACTGGGTGTGCAGCAGTTGTGACCAGCTCACACTCACCCTCCTATATTTTGTAAGCCCAGCTGTGTTCCATGTCTCTGTGTATCTTGGCAGAAGGGAACAGTGGAGCCCTGGCAGCCCCTGCCCTCACATGTCTGGTCCTAAGCCAGGACGTGGAAGACTATACCCAGATCCCATGGGAGCAGTCACTAAGCATGAGGCTTGTTGGGCTCGTATGTGGGTGAAAGGCTATTGTGCATTGGTGACATGGGGGCTCCCTAAGTTCCATCTGGTGCTGGATTTAGAATCAGGTCATATCAGGTCATCATAGAAGAATGGGAGAGGCACTCCACTCCCATCCAATGGCTGGGTGCCCTTTCTCTAAAGGTCTCTTGGCCCAAAGAGTCCTCATTTTAGTTGTCTGCCACAGACATCCCGCTTCCAAAGGCTGGGACCAGTCACTGTGCTTAAGGAATAGCTGAGAGTCAGGTGGGACCCCACAGAGAGCATGCAGTTGGAGTGTATGGTTGCTTTTTTGAGCGGTTATTTTCTGTGAAAGTCTTTCCTTTCCTGGAAGGGGGTGGGCGGGGAGGAGCAGAAAGTTTGGAGTCTTCTTGCTCTCATCCTGGGCCAGTTCAGTTTACCCAATTGGCCACTCACACTGAAGAACAATGATGACAATTTGCCCACACACAGCACATACAGACATACAGCTCATCTGTGCTGGGCATATACTCCTACCACAGGGCCTTTGCACTTGCTCTCTCCTCAGCCTGGTGCACAGTCACTCCAGATAGAAGCTGACACTTCTTTATTCCTCAGGATTATTCAAAGTCACCTCTTAGTGAGGGCTTGTCCTTTCACCTGACACTCCTTTTCCTTCTTCAGTGCTTTCTTTTTCTCCGTGGCACACATCTTCTAATGTACACATTTATTTTATTATTCATCTTTCCTCCCAACAAAACTAAACTCCATGAAAGCATGTTTCTTGCTAAGCCCCTGTGCTTAGGGCAGAGCCTGCACATAGTGGGCCGTCCCTGAGTTCTGCCAACACTTCCTCAGAGAAAGGTGAGGATGTCATCTTGGCCCACCCAGGTGTGAAAATTGGAGAAAGAAAAACTACTGAACACTCCCACAGCTTTTTGCTAAGTAGGACCTACTGGGGTATCCACAATGACCCTCAAACCCTGACTCCCTGGAGGAAACAAACCATCACACCAGAAGACAATTTTACTTTCTGAAACGGCGTGACTTCCTGAAAACGTTTATTTTAAATTATATGAATTCAGAGGAGGATGCAGAGTGGCACAGGAACAGACATAAATGCCAACACTCTCTACAATTTCCTACGACCATTCATAAATCTGGGCGAGGGTGCCATATGGGGAGCTGAGATGCCAAATGCATAGGTTGCCCTTACCCTGCACCTCTATCCTGGGTGCAGAGCCCTCACACAGCTGCTGGGGAGGAAGAGAGGTGTCTGCTCACTGAGGCTCCAGGGGAAGATCCAGGCTTTGCGGAGCCTGAAATTCATACAGTGGAGAGGAAGGGGGCAGGGTGCACAAACTTAAAAAACATCAGTCAAAATTAGGATTACAACTGATGAGGTTAAAGTTTAAAATTAAACTGGCTGGCACCCCTACCAGCTCCCCAACCACTGGCAATATCTGCTATGCCACAGCTTCCCCCATCAGTACCATGAACACCCTAACCAGTTCCAAGAACAGATGCTAATGCAGCGCTTGCTAAGTGAGCGAAAAGAAACCACAAGGGCCTCCCTGGCGGCACAAGGGGTTAAGCACAGCACAGCACTGTGAAGCTAGCTAGCCTGCTGGCCAGGGAGCTACCCACATGGCACAGGAGACCTCTCCTGTCTCACCCGCTGCTCCCCTCAGCTGGGTATTTCAGTAGATCTGCCTGTTCTGCTCCCCACTCTGGTGAATCCTCTCACACACCCCCACACCCTCCCCACACTGCTGGCCTGTACCCCAGTTCTTGCATGCATAAATAAATAAATCTTTAAAGAGGAAAGGAAACAAGGCAAAGGAAACTCGAATATAAAAACGAAATCCCAGCTGCAAGCTTTTGCAGACTGCCACTGACTTCCGCAGAGTCTACCTGACTTCCGCTCTTTCCTCTCTTGGAAAGTACTTTCAATAAAATTTTGCTTTGTTTCTAACCTCTCAGTCTCTGTGGGTTCTTCTGCAACCCGCGCCGAGCTACCCTAGACCCCTGCCCTGGTACCACATCGACACTGCTAGAACTACCCTCTGCCCCCGCCCCGCCAAGTCTTCAGACGGAGCCAGAGCCAGTGGGAGCCAGAAGCACAACTTCACAGCCTCGGACTAAAACCGGCCCCCAGTCACCGAGCGCGGCTGAACGGGCCTCTGGGCCTGTCCTCGCACTGATCACATTCCTTGGCTTCAACTACCCCGCGGACTCTTAACCCGGGGCCCAAGTTTCCACCTCTGTGCGCCGGCTGCAGAGCGGCCCCTTCTCGCTGGGGCGGCAGACAGATGGCACGAAAGCACATTTTCGCCTACAAGACCCGAGGCAGGATTTAGGTCTGGTGCCAAGCGCATTCCACAGCTAGCGTGAGAGGCACCCCAGGAAACAATCCCCTCCGGGGGCGCCGAGCAGAAGCGGAATTCCCGGCACGGGTGGCCCGAGCGCACGCGAAGGGGGCGCGGGGTGCCCCGGGCCTGCTCTGGTCTGCAGGAGCGCGCCGCGGGCCAGCGGCCGGCGAGGTGGCGCCGTCGGGGGTGAAACGGCGGGTGGCGAGGGAAGGAGGCGGCCCCAGAGGCGTGAGCCCGGCGGGAAGTGACCCCCGGGCAGCGCCCGCCACCCCGCCCGCGCGGACCCCGAGCGGCGGCTGCGTCCTGGGGGCACGGTCCCCGCCGCCGGGGCCCCGCAGCTACGCCCCGCGCGCCCCCGGCGCTTACGGTCTTCGGCTCGCGGCTCCCGGGCGCGCAGGCTACAGGCTCCGACCGCGACGCGCGAGGCCTCCCACTCCCGCCCCCGGCGCGCCGGGCCTTCCGTCGCCCGCGCTGACCCCGCCCAGGCTCGGCCTTCCAGCGGGCGGGCCCGGAGAGGGGACACCCCCCGCAGGCTCCACCTCCGCCTGGGGAGGCCGCGGCTCGGGGGGCGGCCCGCCCGCCCAGGTACCGAGCCCCAGCCGGGGTTTAGGAGGGGTGACAGCACCCGGGTGCAGTGGCTTTGTCAGTGGAAGAAGCGAAACGAGCCCGAGGCTTGCATGTTGCGTCTTTGTTATTTCATCTTTCTGGCCATTCACTGTTGCTTCTTCCACACGTAGGTCCAGGACAGGTTGGGAAAGTTAAAAACACATTTGTCTTTCAACACTAGTCTGGAGCACAGCAGGACCTACTCAGAGGTGAGGGCTGAGATACGCAATGCTGAGCTCAACACCTGGAGACCAGATGCCAGTAAATCTGCTCTTCAGAAGGAGCTCCGGACCTGGAACAGAGGATACTGGGGGAGCTTCCGACTTCGGCATCGGCAACAAGCGTCTCTCCCCAGACCTTCATCCTTAGAAAACCTGCCCTGTCACCTCTGTCATTGCGCCTCCTTATCACCTCAAAACCTCTCCAACGCCTCTTTCATGAGCTCAGAAATGCAGTTCTTTGAACAACATGCATCCTCAATAACTCAGCCCACGGTCCACAGCAAGGAGGCCCCAAGCATGTCCTGTTGCTGGGATATCACTGTCACTCTGCAAACAACTTTAGGATAAAATTATCCGCCCCCCCAACCCCCACCAACCATGTTCTAAGAACTCTCCATTGCAATAAGGAGAGGCATTTATGACCCCCCCCCCCCACACACACAACTAATTCCTACCTGCAAGCCTTTGCTCATAGAACACTCCTGGACAGGATGCTCTCCTGCATGCAATCATGGATCCTCCTGTCCTTTATTCCACATCCTCCTACAAGAGCCTTATCTTACCCCCACAGTCTCTGGCCTCCCTGTGCTCCTTCAAAACTTGCAGTCTGTGAGATTCCCCCACCCCTGTCTCCTCCACCACCCCCCATTTTTTACTCTTAAAACTGCAGTGATGATGAAGACATCCTAAAATTAGATACTGGTGGTGGTATATGATTATACTTAAAACATCTAAGTTACACACCTTAAAAGGATAAATTTTATAGTATGTGAATTATATTTCAACAATATTATTTTTATATTTAAAAAACTGCAGTGAGATTGTAAAGTCACATCTCACTTCTGTATCTTTTTTTAAAAAAGATTTATTTATTTATGTGTACAAGAGCTGGGGTACAGGCCAGAGATGTGGGGGATGAGAGGATTCACCAGAGACAGAGTGGGGAACAGAACAGGCGGATCTACTGAAATACACTGCTGAGGGGAGCAGCAGGGGAGTCAGGAGAGGTCTGCTGCACCCTGTGAGTCAGCTCCCTGGCCGGGGATCAAACTCATGCTGCAATGGCTGCAGATTGCATCATAGTGCGGTGCTTAACCCCTTGCGCCACCCGGGAGGCCCAACCACTTCTGTATCTTAATATCCTCCTCCTTGGTTAGATAATCTATCCAGCATTAGATTATTAAATCTAAGATAGTGCAAGATATTTCAAAGTATAATCTACACAGACGGTCAGTAAATAAAAAATCACAGGGTCCAACTCACCAGGGTAAGATTTAGAAAGTCAGGTTTCCATTGCTTTTGGTCAAAAGCCATTGAAACATGTATGGAGCAGAATAGATATAACGTGACCTCTAGAATAAATTATATTTTAAAAAAGCAAAACAAAGGCTGTTCTCTGTACAAACTTCTAGAGAGTTTCCAGGTACATCAGGTGGAATGAAAAATAATGTGTACAGGGGACAGTTTTGGATAAAAATTGTACATCAGTTCCTGATTCACCAAGAAGGAAACAGTCTATATGCCAAAAATGTACTATATCAATCAAATCATGAGAAAACATCTGGCAAATTCCAAATTAAGTAATAGTCTACAAAAGTAACTGGCCTGTACTCTTCAAAAATGTCAATGTTAAAGTAAATGTCAGTGTCACAAAAGACAAGGAAAGGCTGGAAACTTTCTAATTAAAGGAGATTAAAGTCATGAAAACGCTGGTTCTCTTGTAGACTGGACCCTGGACCAGAAACACAGTTTTTCTAAAGACTATTATTGAGGCTATTGTCAAATTTTGAAGGTCTGTAGATTAAATAATAATATTTATTAAACTTATATATCTTTAGTTTGAGAATTGAGTATTTTATAAGTGGACATCCTGATCTTAGAAAATACAATCTGAAGTATTTAAGGAGTGGTATAATATCATGTCTGAAATGATGAAGGAGGTGGGGAGGGACAGGTACAAGGCACTGTCTGCCCAGTGCTACTTAAGAGCCAAGGTATCGGGACTGTAAAAAGGTACTATAATTATTTGTTCTTTGAATAAGAATATTATATGAATGGCTACATTCACATAATAAGTCTTTTACTTTTAATCAGTGAAACGACCTTCCTGTGAAGAGATGGGAATAACAAATAAAACAAGAAGATCCAATGGAACTTAGTCAATTAGAACCACCCCCCCCCCCGAAAAAAAGAACCTACCCCCAAACAAAAAATTATCAAACTATGGCACAATAAAATTTTGAATGGGGTAACCATTTTGGTTGGAGTAACTGAAAATAATATAACCTCTGAGTGATTAAAATCTAGATCAAGTAGTCAAAGTATCTTATCACTTAACTGATCCAAACCTTTGATCAATGGAACAAGTTACCCTAGGGATAACAGCACAATTCTATTCTAAAGTTTACATATATTGACAATAGGGTTTATGACCAAAATATTGGAGCAGGACAAACTAATGGTTTGCTCGTTGACAGATCAAAGTCCTAGGTAATCCGAGTTCAGACGGGAGTGATCAAGGCCAGTTTCTATTTTATATTTCATCTTGTACAAAAGCACAAGAGAAGATAAGGCATACTTCATAAAAGCACCTTTAAAGTAATAGTGATTTATCTCAATCTAATTAATTCACAATAAACCTGTCAAAGAACAGGGTTTGTTAGGGGGTTAGAACCCTATAAACATACTTGGGATCATAAAACAAACTTATGATCAGATGTTCAACTCCTCTCTCTAACAATATGCTCACAATTCACCTTCTTTCATTAATTATTCCCATTTTACTTGCCAAAGCATTCCTTATGCTAGTTGAAGGAAAAGTGTTAGGCTAAATTACAACTTCAAAAAGGACCAAACATTGTCCCCAGGGCCTCTTCTAACCTACTACTGATGTTGTCAAACGACTTACCGAAGACCCATTATAACATCATCAATATCATTTATTGAACCAATCCTAGTCCTGTTATCCCTGTTATTCCATATTATCCATAACATAATCAACAATCATCAAACAACATAATCCTAGGTGTACTATTCATATCACAAATTATGTTTTCATATCATAATGTTATCAAATCATAACATTATCATCTAAGAATATCCCTGCCACGCCATAATATGATTTATTTCAGCCCTAGCAGAAACAGTCAAACTCCGTTCAACCTAACAGGAGAGTTAGAATGCATTTCTGGCTTTAGTGCTGAATACTCAGCAGACACACTCACCCTATTTTTTCCTAGCAGAATGTGTCAACAGTATCATAATATACAATTTCACAATCCCCTACATATCAGAAATATATTCAATCAACTTTATGGTGAAAACCCTCTTCATAATAATTTCCTATGATTTCAAGCATTCTTTCCATAATTTTATGATCAATTCATAGAGCTTCTATGAAAAAAAATTCCAGTAACACCAGCATATGACACAATCATTACCTATCATAATATCAAGTATGCCATCACAAACTGAAGAAATGTCTGACAACAGAGTTATTTTGTTTTTTTTTTAAGATTTATTTATTTATGCACACAAGAACTGGGGTATAGGCCAGAGGTATGGAGGGTGAGAGGATTCAGACCGACTGACTGAAATACACTGCTGAGGGGAGCAGCGGGCGAGTCAGGAGAGGTCTGCTGAGCCATGTGGGTCACCTCCCTGGCCGGGGTTCGAACTCGTACTGTAGTGGCTGTGGATAGCTTCACAGTGCTGTGTCTTAACCCACTTGTGCTACCAGGGAGACCCCTAAAAGAGTTATTTTAATAGAGTAAATTATAGAAATTTAAATGCTGTTATTTCTAAAATTACAGGAATTGCTGCACCTTCCCCTGCAGTGACCTTTAGGGCTAACCGCCCCTAGGTCCGGCTGGGCAACCAGCGCGCAGGGGAAGAACAGCAAAACCCTACCTGCTGCACCTCCCCCCGCAGTGATCTTTAGGAATGGCTTTCGCCACGGTCCCTAGGTCCGGCTGGGCAACCAGCGCGCAGGGGGAGAACAGCCTGAAGCAGAGGAAGTGCAACGGAAGTTCCCTGAAAAGGCAGAAGCTTATCAATAGATAACGACCACCAAGAACCACTACAAGAATGCTAAAAATCTTATCCCTCTTCCTAGAACTACAAACTTTAATCCCTTATTTGTCTTTCTAAACTTCCTTCTTTCTTCTATAATGGTCATTGCTTGTTATGTAGATCACCTCCCTGATAGTGGTAGACTGAGCCCATGAGCAAGCTAATTTCCTTGATATTCATTCCTGTGCTTTTGGAAAACATATATATACTGGTCACAAATTTAGAGAAAATTACACTCAGATTTTCACTCTTGAAGTGTGTCTGTTTGTCATTTCTTTCGCCGACGCCCTGACCATCCTGCACGCTTCTCTCAACCCTGAGGTGGCCTCATCGTCTACTGCTGTGCTGGTCCGTGGCAGGAATCAAACCTACTTCTGAGAACTCAAAAATTTCCATTCTGCCATATTACACCATGTTCTAAAATAAGGTTGTTTAAATAAGCTATCAGCCCATACTCCCAAAATGTTGGGTTATATTCTTCCTGTACTAATAAATCTCATTTTCTTATGACTTTATTTTGTCAGAGACTAGAATAACTGACAGTAAAT